CCTCGTGACCTTTTGTAAACTGTATTTATGACAAAGAACTGCACAGATACAGATATTATAACAATCTATGGATAAACACACACACCTTGTGTCCTCTGTTTCTGTGTGAGTCCCCCGCGGTCTGTGGATGATGGGGAGGAGACGAAGTCTGCCGGCGTTTCATATGAAATTTAAAGGGGACTGACCGATCACGAATTTGTGTACAGTTTATGGAGCTAATCACTATAGCTCCGCTAAAAATGGCCTAGCGACGCCCATGCTTCTTACCTCCATTTCGAAGAACCAGGACAAATATTTCAATCGATCGCTCAGGCATTTAAGTGGCACCGAAATGAGGCACCGAAACCTGCGTTCTGATTCGGTTCTAGTACATACTAGATTGCATTGGTACGGTTTCGGTACCCAACTCTACTCAAAAGGAGGGGATTGCACTTTGGCACCTTTCTGATCCAATAATATTTGCATTTGAAGTTCACAGTTAAAGCAGTGTCTTCATGATTTTGCCTGTGCATTAGTCACTTTCCAAAGTAATTTAGGCAATGTGCTGAATGCAGAGTTCAAAGATTATTCTGAATGTTTGCACTATCACTTATGCATTCATGTATCTTAATAGCAGAAGGGACTTAATAGAATTTGTCAACATTGTTGTGTCAGCGCTCATTAAGCATATACTGTTTACATTTGTATACATGCTCCATTTAGTTTCTGTGTGTAGAGGTATGCACTATCACATTAAATCTCATGGAAATGAAAATGTGTGGAAAGGGAATTTAGACGGTTGTCATCCTCTCTGCCTGCTGTCTATTACAGGACCTATCAATAGTTGTTGGTTAAAACAAAGTTGATATGAACTGGTTCTTACCTAGGCAGTCCATCAGTTCATCCGCTCTGGGCATGGGGTAAGTGCTGAACTCAGAGATGTCATTCTGTTTCTGGAAATGAAGAAATGAAGAGTCTGTGGCTTTGCATCTATCATGATGGACCTGAATCATGGGCTTTTCAGTGTTTCAGTTTCACTCATACGTAACATGCACTGTACTTTGCCTCAGAAGGGCCACTGGCTAATGTTGACTCCAGGAATGTTAAAGATTTATTCTTTCATAGTGTTTCCCAACCTTTTTATTACACTCTCATATCAGTATCAGTTAGGCTCAATTACCCCCTCACTGACAAGAAATCTTACTCTGGTAAACTGAGGTACATAGCTGTTTTACTCGCAGCAAGTTGAACAGTTTGGTAAAGAGTAAATGAACATGTGCAGACTGGCCTGTAGGTGTCTGAGTGAGAAAAGAACGCATGTCATTTGAAAGATTAATTTCATTGAATTTTGTGCCAAAGCAATGATAAATGATTTAGCCACATAGCTGCTGTTAGGTGCACTGTGTGAATAGCTTTGAAAAGTGACCTAAGTATTGAGAAATGTGTCCTAGAGATTGTAAAAGACTGTAATTGTGAAATAGGAAGAGGACAGTCAGTCTGGTTGTGAGGCACTCCATTGATGAATGTAGTTCCTGTCACCTATATACTGTTAGAGAAATCTATCTGGTTAGAGCATGAACCGGAGCTTCATCACATGCAGTGGATCCTTCCAGTCATGTTTTCTCCTGGACTAGCTCTGGGTGGGTGCGGATCGGTTGGTCTGCTGGCTCATAACCCACACCTGTGTCCCCACACGGCCTCTAGCGCTTCTGTCCTGGTTAGGGGATCGTGCACGCTCACTGCTTGCTGTATGCATTTGGGTGTGTGTATAGCAGCTGATCCACTAGGACTCTTTCTGCAACTTGGGCAGCAGTGGGTTGCTTTGGGCCATCTATGAATAAGACGGTCCTTATTGGGATGTCTGAAAACTCTTGTGGTTATGGGTGAGATACATATCATGCTTCACTGGTCCTCTTTCTCTGCAAATATCTTAAGCATGTCCCAAACGTTTGTGCTTCCACAAGACTTTTGAGCTTTGTGAGAAATTGGTAAATTATTTTTTATTTTTTTACAATGTTTTGTGCGTATGTTTGGAACATTTAAATGCTGTTGACAAATGTCATTACACTTACATGCTAAGAGTCATTCTTGCCTATTTTCAAGCACCCTGGAGTTTTATCTTAAGATTTAAAATTGTTCTGAATGACATCTGGACTGCATCACTATCGAAGTACATTTATTGCTGTGTTTGTGTCTGTGCTGCAGTGAGGCTCGTGTGAGAGGGGTTCAGTTGCGATGGTGGCAGCCGCGTCATGAGGGCGCAGGGCATGATCAGTGGGCACTGGACCACGTGGAAGTCATTCTGTGAGTACTCCTGCCTTTAATTATGGCAATCATTTTTCCTTCACTCAGACATCAGTAAAATCTTTCAGCACAACTTGGATAACACAAGCTGACACCTGTGAGGAAAGTGCTTAGATTTGCCAGTACATTTTCCTGTTGGGCTTATAATGAAGTACACTCGTTATTAATACCATAGTTTTACATAGTGCTGCATTGCCAATAGACATTAAACAGTCCTTGCTCTCTCCCTACACACACACACACACACACACATATCTCAGTCCCGTCCCTCTCACTCAGGTTCTGGTCCTCACACTGCACTCTCTCTCTCTCTCTCTCTCTCTCATCACTGCCCTCCACATGTTCACTGCACTCACCCGTCTGCCTCCACCATCCTCTGCTCTTCTGCAATAACCTTTCCCTTACCTCCACCTAAATGTATGTTCCTCTTTGGCCCCGCTGTTTTCACTCCCAACACAACTCTGTTGGCACTGCATTCCCTCTGTTGCTCTGGTGTCGCAGCTCAGGGTTCTTTCACCCCCAGACCTTTGTGCAAGCCAGCAACAGCCCTGTCCTGCATCTTATAACCTTTCCTCTCTTCTGTATTCTGCTCCCTATGGCATGGCTGTAGTGTCAGGTAAGTGCTTTGCTTTGCTGTTCCCAGAATTCACCAGTGTTCCCTGCCTTTGGTCTTCCCTCATTGAGCCTTTCTTGTACATCACTGTAGACCTCATCACTCCATACAGGTGGAAAAAAATAAAGGAAATAGCAGATGAAAAAGTTAAATAAAGTTGATAATGATTGCGGTAAATCAATTAAAATTGCAAATGCAGCACAGTACGCAATGCACTGTCTTGAAGAATATCCAACAGCTGTTACAACGGTATGACCACATTTCAAGAAGCACTGAAACTAAAGTTATGACAGTATGTCAATATACAGTATACTGTGCAAAGGTCAGCATTTTTATTTTAAGATTATATCTTTTGCTTTTGTGTGCCAGTAGGAAATATTGATTTTAGATTTCCAAACATTACATACACAGTGTTGTATGTAAAAATGTCTGTGTTGTTTCCATTGTTGTGTTCCCCTGTATCCTATCCATCTAATTCCTCTACACAGCTGGAGGTTAATGTCACCCAGGACAGATCTGACATTTCATTTAATTTTTGGTTTTATACAGTAATTGATCATATACTTGGAAATATTATGGATGGAGACAGGTCAAATTAGTCATCCAGGTCACTGGAGAATATGACGGTAATAATCCCATATACAGCTGGAGTGGCAGAAACAAGTACTGTATACTGGAGTGTGTACACAACACTGTATGCCACAGGATGCACTCAAACCAAACACAAAGCAAAATAGTGTAGTGGTGAAATGAAAGACCCAACGTACACTCACTGGTCACTTTATTAGGTGCACCTTTCTAATTCTGGGTCGGACACTCTTTGCCCCCGGAATATGACATTGACATGCAGTTGCTGCAGATTTATCAGCTGCATATTCATGATGCACTTCTGCTGATCTAGCACAGATCTGGGGACAGTGTGCGCCACTGGAGTACACGGCAATGAGTGGTTTAAAGCTGCCATGATTGGCTGATTAGATAGCATGCAGAGCATGCAGATGTACAAGTGTCCCTAGAAAAATGGCTACTGAGTGTATGAGAGTGAAGCCCGACTCAAACGACTCAAACATGTGAGGGCAAAAGTGACATTGATGTAGATATGTGGAACAGGGTGGACAGATGACTTGAGAAAGGAGAGAAAGAAGCCATCCATTCACACCATACGTTCATCTTTCTGTATCCTTTTTACTCTGAAAAGCTGATGGTCAGAGTCTAAAATTGACTTTTAACTACACCTGTCAATTGACCTATCAGTAAGCCCCACCTGCGAACTCGGACAAACAAACAGAGTTGCTAACTGTCTTACAAATTGACAGCTGTCAGTGTGAAAACCTTGTCCCTATATCTTTTTGATACATTTTGGACACAGAAGGACCACCATTCAAGTGAGACTTAAATATGCCATTGAGGGATATATAAAAGATTTAAAAATAAATATTGTTGGTATTAATTCGGAAGCGAGGGTTTACATATCACAATGGTTTGTATGGTTTGTATGGACTCACTAACTTTAACGTTAGCTAGTTTTAGCCAGAGATACGTTACATTAACTTAAGATACTTGACATTAACGTTCTGCTTGAGCAGATGAAGATTGTAACTTAATGAGAGTATGACAACCAGAAAACGAACGTCTTTGTCTTCATTGGGATTGGGGGTGAATGCTATGGGACATTTTGCTCCGGGTTTAGGAAATTTAATAAAATACATTTCATTGCCCATCCTCTCAGGATAGCTGGAATCACTGTTACAAGTACCCCAGGCACATCGTTTTTCCATTTTTGAAGCATAAACCCCATAAAAATAATGCGAGCTTCAGATCTTCCAATGTTTCTCTATGGCGCTGAAACCTACAGACGTCCGAGTTCTGCTCCCCGCGCAACTGATACTCGACTGCCATTGGCTCATCTGCGTTTGAGGGGAGGGGCTTACCGATAGGTCAATTCATGCGTCCTGTGGTGGTGTGTTAATCTCATGTCTGTCGTTATACAACCTGAAGCGTCCTGGAGGGGTGGAATGAATGGAAAACATGTTGTGCCATGTCATTGTGAAGCTCAATCCTTTAATAAAGAAAATAGCTTGCATATGAACCTGACAGTGTAAAAAATGTTTTGTATGGTAACCTAAAAAGTGCTGCTTAGCAAAATGAACTGGGTGTCCAAAATATTAAACATAATAGCAGAGTTGTTTTAAAGTTTTTTTTAAGGTGTATTAGGTTGTTGACAAAACCCTTAAATAAGATTAAAAATGCCCAATACAGTTGAATCAAACATGATGTGTGTGTGCATGCTTAGTAAAGAGTCGGTTCCCCCGTCCCAGGTCCCTTATTTGTGATTGTATTTGTTCATAAGCCATTGCTAACTTTGTGTGTGGTGGCTGTATCTGCACTAGTCCAGAGACTCACAGATAAGCACAGATCCCTTTCACCGGTCCTTCACCCTCATCACAGCACCATCTAAACAGAACTACATGATGAACTACTCCAGACAGACCGGTCAACACCACTACTACAGCAGGAAGAGGCGGGCCTTGCGGCAACAAACCTAAACGCTTCGAGAGAAAAACCTGCTGCTCACACGTTATTCTGCTGGCTACAATCCCTTGATCTTTTTCCATCTGTCAGTCTTTCCTCAAGCTCCAACCTCAAGCACTACTCTATAGATGTCTTCACTCAAAACCTGAACCAGATTGCTGTTTTTGTCTCTTACCAAACAATTACGATGCACTAGCTCCAAAAGACCATAAAGTGAAATGATGACAGCGTTTGAGGTTATGAGTGAATGATCGATTTGATTTTGTAGTTTGTGGATTCAGTGCTATGTGAATTCTTAATGAAGCCTAGCTACGAATTAGAACAGCGCATTGTTAAACCTGTCTGCTTTCCTCTTCACAGCACCCGTAAACAGAACTACATGATGAACTACTCCAGACAGACCGGTCTACACCACTACTACAGCAGGAAGAGGCGGGCCTTGCGGCAACAAACCTAAACGCTTCGAGAGAAAAACCTGCTGCTCACACGTTATTCTGCTGGCTACAATCCGCTTTCCCTGATGAGAAAACACCACGTCAGGTCACTTCTGTCAGCATCTGGCCATACTCTCTCATCTGAACGGTACATTGGACCATCTAGTCCCATTTCTAGCCAATCAATGCCTTCCCAGAGCAGTGTGATGGGAAAGACAAGCACCTAAATGTGGCGTTTTTGTATACTTATCTATGAACTATTGGGTTTCCTACTTCTGTTTATTATAACCTTGTTTGAATTCTCCTGATGTGAACGACTACAAAGCTCTCCTGCTCTCACCTCACTTTCTACCACACTGTGAAGTTATTCTGATGGTTATGATGATCATTACTAGTGCTGATAAAGTTCTGAAGAGGAGAACTGAAGAAGACTCGTGCTGAAGCAGTTTCTTGGATGAAGATAATGACAATGTGTTTTGCTGTTGTGTCTGTGGGTTCGTTTTGTGATGCATTGATTGTGGTGTTCCAATCATTTGTTAGTTTTATACTAACTTGTATCTTTTGGGCTTGGATCATTTTTCCTTTGTGAAACAAGGCAAGTGGAGAAGTCAGCCTTGGAGAGGGAAAAAAAGAATCAGAAAGAATACTTTTAAAAAGAGAGACTAACGATGTTTTGTTGTTGTTGATAAATCACTTTTTTATATATCTTGGTTCCTTAAAAATATTTATGGTGAATGGTTCTCCACTAAACCTATTTAAAATACACTGTGGGTGAAATCTGTGTTGTTTTTTTCAGTTTGTTTGTTTGTTTCATTTCAGGTTTGTTTTGTTAGGTTTAAGTTATTAGGTCAGGTTCTTGGTTGCGATCGATCAACACCCTTCTCTTCTCATTCAGAGTCATCCAGTTACAGTGCTGTTACACATCTCATGTCCCCTCTTTCTTTGATGAGCTGTCAGTGTTGTTTATGATGTTACCTTCTCCCCTTCTTGGTGTAGCTCTCCAATATAGCAAGTTCTTGTATATATATATTGTATATAAATATATATATGCAGGGATCCATCAGCCTTATAAAAGGGAAATAAAGAACTGTCAAAACCTCCAGCAGAAGAGTGTTGATTTATTAAGGTGTTAGGCCGCATTTACGCTGCAGGTCTTGACCACTGAATCCTGACCACTAGACCACATGGGAAGGCTTTGCGTTAGTTGGCCCTTCACATGGAATGAATTTCGCTTGAAGATAGCAGATACTAACAGTCCCCTCAACTGCAAAGCCACAAAACTGCTGTTTTGTATGGGCGTCTTCAATGGGCTGCTCTCTGCTGGGTTTTAAGGGTGGCTGAGCATAAAGAAGACAGCTGTTGATTGAAACACTCCTCTTTCTGCTCTGCAGTCAGATGCACTACTGGCGCATTACGAGGCTCTGTGGAAGTGCGATGTTGGTGAGCCAGTTGTAAATACAAGTCTATTCTAGCGCTAAATATTGCTGGGTTTCGCACAGGTGGCTCATATTAGACCCCTGGTACAAAAAAGTCTGCTTTTACATTGCACTCAATGATGAACATGTTGAGAACTGAACCCTGCGTGATTATGTTGTTGATGAGCTAGTTGTAAATAAAAATTGAGCACACGGACAAAAAGGGATTAGGCGATGAGGGCAAGTAATTAATGACACAATTTTCATTTTTGGGTGAACTATCCCTTTACGAGCATCTTCACTGGGCTAATCTTTGCTGGGGTTTACAGACTTTTTAATTTTTTTAACTGCAGTGAGAACTAACTGGTGCTAAAAACTGGTGCGTGCCTGTGTGTGTGTGTGCGTGTGTGTGTAATTAACTAATCTTTGTACATTTTTATTATTGGGCACAGATAAAAATAGCATACATTTTGTACTGGGATAAAACATTTCTTACTGTGGCCCTGACTGATGAATCATGCATAATAACACCAAAAATGTATATTAAAACTAGTTTAGAAATTGACCCTAATAGGCTTACAATGACTTACAAAGATACATAACAGCTACAAGTGTATGCACTACTTGCTTTATGCAAGCACTATATAGGACAAATCACTATACAAGAGTTACCTTATTATGCTTTATTTCAGGGGAGCCCATGTCTTATTAAGGGGAGCCGAGCTCCCCCTAGCTCCCCCGTAGTTCGCACCCTGCCATCCAGTAAATACCCCAACTGACCTGTGGTTTATGGGGAAAAAAGTCCTGTGCTTGCTTTCCTAAAATCCTCTTAAAGCAGCAGCCTCATAACGCTGAGCCAGTAACGTATGTGGAGCTTAACACAAACAGAGCCTTTTCTTGAGAGAATCCACTACACAAAGGCATTTAATAACAAAATCAATGTATCCAGTCAACGATTTAATGAAGACGATGAACCGAAGATATGCTGTGCTCCTTTCAGTATTCATCTGTCAGGTTCATGCCATGCTGCCTCAGGTAAGTGATATTCATCAATTCTGCAGAAAACAGATGTTAAATTCAACTTCTTAAGATGTGTTTCAGAACAAGTGAGTTCATTCAGAGTAGCAGGTCAAGGGTTGAAGCTAAACGCTCTGTTTATGGCATTGTAGTGATTGTGCTCACTCTGTTTATAATAATGCAGAAAGAGACGATGGTATCAAATATTCTCGAAGCCTCAGCAAAGGTATCTTTCACTGTAATGCATCTGATTTAGTCAAGTTTGAGTTTGTAAAAAGCCCAACAGCAAAACAAGACAAGCTTTTTTTCTTGAATGATAAAATATACCAAAATAAGCCCCTATACTTTTAAATTCTTATCACTGAAATAGGGACAATATAAACAAAATTGTGAGAAGTGTTTGCAGTGTGATAGACTGTAGGCTAAGCGTCTGACTAGTGCACTTATTTCAGCCTGCAGTAGTGCACTAGTCTACACAAGCACTCTATTCAGAGGGTCTGAGGAATGTTGTGATGTTCCTTAAAGAGAACACTGTTGAACTGAACATCAGCAGCCTCACTACAACACTGCTGCTCTAGCACTTCACCAGCTGTTTGCACAGGAACTTCAAATATTTATCTAGCTTACATAAGTCTTACAAGATGAAAACATAGTACCCTTCCCCTCAGTTACAGCCAATAAGAAGAAAATATCATATTACAGTTGTTACAATTGATTATCAATAGATTAAAAAAGTTCAAAAAGTTGATTATCAAAGTGTATGAAAAAAATGATGCTGCAGAACTCAAAGCACAGAGGGTTTGACAGGATCTCGAAGAACAAAATTAAAGAACCCAGGTGAAAAAGAAATTTATTTAAATTGTGCTTTTTCAGACATACTTACTATATTTAAATTATTGTGTTTAGCATATTCCTTAAAAGTGTAACTAAGCATATATTTATTACCAAAGTATTTCTAGTATACTTTTTATAAATACATTAAAAGTATGCTTCTGTTTAGCATATTTCTTAGAAGTATAACTAAGCATATATTTAATACAAAAGTACTTCTAGTATACTTTTTAGAAATATATTAAAATGCAATTCAATATATTTTTTATTGCACTTCAAATAAGCATGTTGGGAATACAAATGTATTATAAACACACTACTTGAATTTCAAGTATATTTTTAATACATTTAATACTACGTCTTTTTCAGCTGGGACACAGTCGAGCAGATCAAGAACCAGCAACATTTCTGTGCAGCGAATGTAAAGCTCTGCATAGAGACTGACGCCATCTGCATTCATAACCATAATCATAAATCCGCTGTTGTTCTTTGGAAACTGACAAACAATATTTCATGTTTAGATCTTGAGAGTTTGAGGATAACGAGATCCACTGACACCAATAACTGTGGAACATGAACCAACTGGACCACATTATGGATGTAATATCCCATCATTCTTTTTCAGAAGCTGTTTCTAGGGTCGCTTGTAACACTTTTCCAAACCATGTTTTCAGATTCGATATCATGTATGCAGGCCCTTGTAATGAGAATCAAGACAGGGTTGATGGAACTATAGAAGTCCATTGTTTTGATATTGTACAGTAAGCAGGTGAGGAACACTGCAGTTGAAGTGTTTATTTGTACCATTCTCAAAATATAATGCATAGGATTAAAATGGGTTTGTTTGTCTGTTCAAAAGCAAATGAGGTGAGAGTTGATGATTGTGATGTTGTAAGATGTAAAAAAAGAATAAAAACAAAAGCTAACTCCAAACGGTTGTCTTTAATGTAGGAAGCATCAGTAAACATTACCATCATCAGCCACTCCAGTTCTTCCTCACCCCCTCTAGGTCTCTTATTAGGTCTTTTACTGCCGTCTAGCGACCACACTCAGTATCACAATGATTCACAGAACACAACATCTTCCCTCTCTGTTAAGAACACTACTTCAGTAACTGAACACTTTTCGTATTATGAAATTATTGCAATAAAGCCTGCAACTGTAGTTACAAAAGAAGGTGACATCTGTTTGAACATATAACTAACACATAACTAACATATGGCAGTCAAAATTCTTTGACAAAATTTCCTTACCACTGAAATTAAATGATTTCACATTCATGAACCTCAGAACACTTTTTAAAGTACATTTCTTTTACAGCTTGGTTCAACTAACAACTGTTCTTAACCCTTCAAATCTCAATCAGTTACATTACATAGTCTTTGTGCCACTTAGGTTTGAATCTACTACGTGGCTGTTTCGGAGAAGTACCCTGAATGAGTTGTGCGCAAGTTGGTGTATCAACTTGACCTCCACTTACGGGTGCAGAATGAGAATGAGCCAAGTGTGTGACATTCCATCTCTTCCCATCACTTAGCAGAAAGGTGTTTGGACTCACACGCTTTTCCACTGTTAACGGAGCAGAGAATCTGGAGTGTGCTTTAGGGACTAAGCGAGGAATTCTGACCCTCACTCTCTCCACTTGAGCAAAAGACGGGGTACGAGCATGCCGCTTAATGTCAGTGTACTGTTTCATCTTGGCTTGTTTCCTTTCCACAGTGTCATGGACAGATGAATTCGACATAGGAGCAATGGGCAAAATGTCCAGTCTGGTTCGCATTTTACGTCCATAGAGCAGTTCATAAGGTGAGGTTGAGGTAGTGGCATGAGGTGTCGCACGAAACACTTGAAGCCAGTTGGTCACAGCTTCCTTCCAAGGCTGTGACTGCAGGATGGCTGTCTGTATGCAGCCCTTCAGAGAACGGTGGAACCTCTCAATAGCTCCATTGGCTGCAGGGTAGTACACAGATGTCTTGTTATGGTGTATACCCCGGGTCTTAAGAAATTCAGCAAAGGCAGCTGATGTGAACTGCGTCCCGTTATCAGTGACAATGCTTTCCGGATTTCCATGACGGCTAAAAACGGTGGTCAGAAAATCTATGACACCGTCAGTTGTGGCGGATGGGCAAAAGGCAAGTTCAGGCCACTTTGAATAGTAGTCGGTCAATGTCACAGCATACCGACAAGCAGGAATCAGTAGTGGTTGTGGACAGAACAGGAGTAGCTGGCGTTGCATCTGAGGTGGTAATCGTGTCAGCATTTATACAGAGATGCAAGTTGCTAATTAAGTCCATACCAAGCAATGCAGTACCTTCCTCTACCACGAAGAATGTGCCTGGAGTGCTCGAATCCACTACACACACCTGGGCATGGAGACATCCAAGTACTGGAATGTGTGTCTGTGTGTAGGTCACCAGTCTAGCAGAAGGTGGAGACAAGGGGGTGGAGCTGAAATATTGTTTATAGACATGGTGTGGTAGTATAGAGACAGCAGAGCCTGTATCTACAGTAAGTCGTATCTCCTGGGCAGCAGAGGCAGGTGTATGAATGGTGGCATTGCAAAACAGTCTCTTTGGAGCATGTTCATCAGTGTTGCCCGTATACAATATAGTCACGTCAGGTAACTGCACCTCGTGTACTTTACTGGTCGGAACAGAACGACATACGCGAGCAAAATGGCCCCTTTTATTACAGGACTTGCATTGGGCATTTGCAGCAGGGCATTGAGTGGAGTTGGCTAAATGCGTGTCAGAGCCACACCTAAAGCAAGATCTACGTGGAGAAGAAGTGGCTGCAGCATGTGGCTTAGATGAGCGGTGGTACTGTTTGTTTGTAGTTTTGTGTGATTTAGAGTGCACAGTCTGTACTGGAATTCCCTTGTCCAAAACACCTCTGTCTGAAATCTTTTTTTTGCTTGATCAGCAGCAGTTGCAAGAGTTACGGCTGTGTCCAGTGGTAGGTCTGACTCCAGTAACAGCCTTTCTCTAATACTGTCACTCAACAAGCGTTCCAGTAGTTGATCACGAATCATGTCATCAGATTTGTCCTCAAAACCACAGGTAGCTGCAAGAGCACGCAAGGCAGCTACATATTGTGCAATAGTCTCATGTGGAAATTGAGCTTGCTTTCTGAATGCATAGCGTTCAACAACAACGTTGACTTTTGGAGTAAAATGTTTGTCTAGTGCACTGACAGCAGAAGCATAAGTGTCACCTGTTTCTGGTAGAGCGTAAAATATCCGCTGTCCCTCTGTTCCCAAACAATGGAGTAACGTGGCTCTTTTGCGGATGTCTGGCCAAGCATCCCCCGTCGCATTAATCACTAGCAAGTAGTTGTTAAACATACGCAGCCACATGTCAAAAGGCATTGCTGGTTCCCCCAGACAGGGCAAAAACATTGCTGGCGCAGGAACATTAACAGACATTCTGAGAGCAACAGCAAAACAAAACTGCAGTGCGGGGTATCCTCGTCGCCAATTTGTGATGTTGTAAGATGTAAAAAATAATAAAACAAAAGCTAACTCCAAACGGTTGTCTTTAATGTAGGAAGCATCAGTAAACATTACCATCATCAGCCACTCCAGTTCTTCCTCACCCCCTCTAGGTCTCTTATTAGGTCTTTTACTGCCGTCTAGCGACCACACTCAGTATCACAATGATTCACAGAACACAACAATGATGTTTCTCTGCTGTTATGATGACCTGAGAGCTGATTTCAGACGGCCTGCGCCTGCTGGTCTCGTGGATTCTTAATCAAATATAACTAAAAACTGTGTCTGGTCTGCTCTGGATCTGGATGTTACCGGATCTGAACATCTTATGAAACATTAAGCTGTGACCGTGCATGTTTTCTCAGGACTGTCCCAGTAAGCAAGACCTACAGAACTCAATTCAACAGGCTCAGAAACTGCTCTCAGCGCAGGAAGATTCGTACCTGCAGAGTCTTCGCACTTTGAGGAAGAAACTGAACCTACTGCACGATAGCGTCGCACGCCGGCCCGCTAAAGCAAAGAACTGTAAGACCACATGACACCAGTGTTGATGCTATAGACATAAAACAATATCAAACAAGCCAAATGTGCCAACGAACTGACAAATCAAACTACATTATATGAATCATGTATGCCATTTAAAGTGTAACTCTTAACACATGTCTCTGTGTTTTATATTGCGCAGCTACTTGTCCTGACCTGGATGCTCCTGTCAATGGCAAAAAGCTGGGGAAGATTCTGTTTCCTGGTCATGAAGTTCACTTCCTGTGCGACGAGGGCTTTGAGCTGTTGGGTTCAGAGACGCGGCAGTGTAAGGACTGGCTCGGCTGGAGCGGTCAGCAGCCCGTCTGCAGAGGTGAGAGCTGAAGCCTGATCTATTTGGTCTCAGTCTAGGTTTGGTAAAGGACTCATTCTATCAAACCTGCAGCTTTTTCCCGTTAGTATGGAAATGTTTATGATCTTATGGAACCCGAGCCCACTGTTCCACACTAGAAACATCTTTCCTTTGAAAACTGGTCAACTTTTCAAAACACATAGTAGCATTCTATTAGTCACATTTGTATTTCAAGGTGCTGTAAGTGTGTTTAAATAGCTATATGTTGCCACTATCTGAGAGATACACAATATCTTTTCCGACGGTGTAAAGTTCAGAATTGGCACACGATGGCGTCGGTGTGGGCATGATTACTTCCGGTCTTTGAGACGTTCACACTTACTGTGAGGGGAAACTTTCACACGAAACGGCTGGATAGATATTAATGTTTTCCTAATTAAATAGCGGATAGTGGTACATCAAAGACGAGAGAAATCATCCTCCTTACATTATTGTGTACCTCTGTGTGGACACCCATCAAGATACAACGCAGAGATTGCTTCGTTCGTTCAGAGTCAGCGGTTGGCCAAAGTCCACGGATCTCTTCATTCAAACACAAACCACTCAAGTGTGCAATACTGTCCAATCTCGGAGAGCTGATTTCGTTCTGACTGTTATTTATTAGATCATAAGGTTTGTGACTGTACAATGACGCTCAGAGATTTCTGCATTATGGACTCGATGTGTGTTTTATTAACTTTATTTGGTAACCTTATTTATAACTGTATCGGTACAATTTAACAAAATTTAATTTTAGTAGGTTTGCATTTATTAAAAGATTGGTGTTTGTATTTCCCTGTGTGTTTTTATTAATATTCATCTGTTTTGTGAAAATGAGCTTCTGTTGCACAAATCATTATCTGTCTGTTGTCTATAAGCAGCGCATACAGTATATTTTTACAAATTGTTTGCATTAATTAACAAATAAAACAAATAAAACAAAAGCTAACTCCAAACGGTTGTCTTTAATGTAGGAAGCATCAGTAAACATTACCATCATCAGCCACTCCAGTTCCTCCCCCCCCCTCTAGGTCTCTTATTAGGTATTTTACTGCCGTCTAGCGACCACACTCAGTATCACAATGATTCACAGAACACAACAATGATGTTTCTCTGCTGTTATGATGACCTGAGAGCTGATTTCAGACGGCCTGCGCCTGCTGGTCTCGTGGATTCTTAATCAAATATAACTAAAAACTGTGTCTGGTCTGCTCTGGATCTGGATGTTACCGGATCTGAACATCTTATGAAACATTAAGCTGTGACCGTGCATGTTTTCTCAGGACTGTCCCAGTAAGCAAGACCTACAGAACTCAATTCAACAGGCTCAGAAACTGCTCTCAGCGCAGGAAGATTCGTACCTGCAGAGTCTTCGCACTTTGAGGAAGAAACTGAACCTACTGCACGATAGCGTCGCACGCCGGCCCGCTAAAGCAAAGAACTGTAAGACCACATGACACCAGTGTTGATGCTATAGACATAAAACAATATCAAACAAGCCAAATGTGCCAACGAACTGACAAATCAAACTACATTATATGAATCATGTATGCCATTTAAAGTGTAACTCTTAACACATGTCTCTGTGTTTTATATTGCGCAGCTACTTGTCCTGACCTGGATGCTCCTGTCAATGGCAAAAAGCTGGGGAAGATTCTGTTTCCTGGTCATGAAGTTCACTTCCTGTGCGACGAGGGCTTTGAGCTGTTGGGTTCAGAGACGCGGCAGTGTAAGGACTGGCTCGGCTGGAGCGGTCAGCAGCCCGTCTGCAGAGGTGAGAGCTGAAGCCTGATCTATTTGGTCTCAGTCTAGGTTTGGTAAAGGACTCATTCTATCAAACCTGCAGCTTTTTCCCGTTAGTATGGAAATGTTTATGATCTTATGGAACCCGAGCCCACTGTTCCACACTAGAAACATCTTTCCCTTGAAAACTGGTCAACTTTTCAAAACACATAGTAGCATTCTATTAGTCACATTTGTATTTCAAGGTGCTGTAAGTGTGTTTAAATAGCTATATGTTGCCACTATCTGAGAGATACACAATATCTTTTCCGACGGTGTAAAGTTCAGAATTGGCACACGATGGCGTCGGTGTGGGCATGATTACTTCCGGTCTTTGAGACGTTCACACTTACTGTGAGGGGAAACTTTCACACGAAACGGCTGGATAGATATTAATGTTTTCCTAATTAAATAACGGATAGTGGTACATCAAAGACGAGAGAAATCATCCTCCTTACATTATTGTGTACCTCTGTGTGGACACCCATCAAGATACAACGCAGAGATTGCTTCGTTCGTTCAGAGTCAGCGGTTGGCCAAAGTCCACGGATCTCTTCATTCAAACACAAACCACTCAAGTGTGCAATACTGTCCAATCTCGGAGAGCTGATTTCGTTCTGACTGTTATTTATTAGATCATAAGGTTTGTGACTGTACAATGACGCTCAGAGATTTCTGCATTATGGACTCGATGTGTGTTTTATTAACTTTATTTGGTAACCTTATTTATAACTGTATCGGTACAATTTAACAAAATTTAATTTTAGTAGGTTTGCATTTATTAAAAGATTGGTGTTTGTATTTCCCTGTGTGTTTTTATTAATATTCATCTGTTTTGTGAAAATGAGCTTCTGTTGCACAAATCATTATCTGTCTGTTGTCTATAAGCAGCGCATACAGTATATTTTTACAAATTGTTTGCATTAATTAACAAATAAAACAAATCTTTAAATTAGTCATAAGTATTTATTATCTTTTTACAGCCCATGTTTTCATCTAAACGTATTTGATGCAAAGATAATTGTGTAAATGTCAAATACTAAAATATGTCGTGAAAATGTTGATGGGACGAACTGATGTATGAGCAGAATTGAGAAACGGATATTTATGAAGATCAGTTGATGTCTCACAAGGCAAATGTATTTCAGTTAAAAAAAGTCAATGTAATACAAACATTTGCCAGAAATAAGTAATTTAGTTTGGTAAGGGAAAAAGACCACTAATCCAAAATGGTGGATATGCAACTAGCCCATTTCAGTTTTGTTGCCGCAGACTGTGGAAAGTCTTTTCTTTTCTAGCATGTTAATACTACAAGCAAGGGCGCTGAATCTGGTGAAGAGGAGCTTGACTAGCTCCAAACCTGGACCTGAAACCCTACTGAAGGCCTTTGAGATGCCTTTAACGTAACATAACCCAACATCTGACCGCAATGATGCTGCTGTGCAGTGTTGAATATTACATTTCAAAAGCATGAATCCCTGTAACAGCTTCCACTGGATGTTGAACATGGATTTGCTCCCATTCACACACCGTCTTTGAGGTCACTGGCTCACAGTTGGTGTTTCAGTTGATCCTGAAGGCGTTCAGTGAGATTCTCTGGGTTTTGTGTAGGCCAGTCGAACTCTTCGACACCAGACTCAATAAACCACATGAGTATGGAATGAACTTTGCTTTGTGCACATGAGTATTGCCAGCAGAAAAGCACCTTCCCCAAGCTGGAAGCACAGGATTGTCATCATATGGTGTAGCATCAAGACTTGTGCTCACAGAAATTTCAGTCCCATCCATGTCAACAGACTTTTGTCCACATAGTGTATCAGTGTAAGGGGTGCAGTGAGAAATCCCACATCTCTGTGACGGCCTTGAGTTTGGCTTCTAGACTCTGAATCTTCACTGAGTTCCTCTCCTCTCTCAGATATCGATGAGTGTCTTTCATCACCTTGTGCCAACGGAGGAGCGTGTACAGACGAGGTCAATGGATTCAGCTGCGTCTGCGCCAAGGGCTGGGCCGGACCCACCTGCCAGTCTCCAACACCAACATGTGGGTTTGCATTTGCTCAGAATCACATTTACAGGCTCTGCGTTTGACGACGGAGCACAAAATGATGCTACCAGACCTATCAGAGTATAGAGTTCTGTACTGCTCCTCAGATGAACAAAACACACACAGAGATTCCCATACGGATGTTCAAGCGTTAATGGCCTCCTCTGATGATGGCTTCCAACACTGCTGTAATTACACTCCAGCCACATATTTATCCTCACTAAGCTGAAGCCACTAAATACATGGATAGAGCAGTCTATGTACAGTAGTTATAGCTGCTGTCAAAACATAGCCAGTAACATCTTGCCAAAATGTTTATACCCTCAAAAATCAACCAAAAGCTTACAGTATGTCCCATTTCCAAATGTCTCCTAATCGATCAAAGATGAATTATGATCCTGTCACATCATCACATATGGCTCACATTTCTTTCATGTGGGATCAGGGATGTAGAAACATCTAAAAATGGGAGGACACATTAAAAAAAAGTGTTTGCTCTTGTAAGTTGTTGTTTGTTCCAGTACTTGCACAAAAACACCTCTTCAATTACTATTTATGATTGCCTCTAGTCAGCGGTGGATCAAGCAGCAGTGCTTCAAATTCCCATTCGCTCATCCACAGCATTCCAGTAAAATTACAAAACAATGTGCAATCAAATGCACTCGTTCCTGATATACATGCACTGACAAACAGCTGCAATTTGAATTAGATTGTTAGAAAATGTTCTGTGACAAGTTTCAAAACCTGCACCCTCTAATACTCCACACAAAACACAGCCAATCTGTGCTAGACCAACACATCGTGAGATCTGATAAAGCCTTGATCATACATGACAGCCATGTGAATATCTCGAGGTGTTTATACTTGTCCTAGTACAAGAACCTGTGTTTGTTTTAGTGAAATCATCGTCAAACATCAGTGTATTGTTGGGATGTTCTCATTCAGTGCTTTTAACATTATTCTATTTGGCCTCAGATGTTAGGGTTAGGGTTAACCCTAACCCTAACCCTAACCTAACCATAGTTTACAGCAACGCACGACGTCTCTTCTGACAGGTGCAGCTCTCGCTCACACTGATGGCTCAAGTATAAACCAGGCTTCATGCTGAAATCCTATGATTGTTCCTGTGCTGCACAAATAAGTTTACGTGCTCTCTCTGCAGTTTTTGTCACTATAGCGAACACGTCTCCTGTCAGCGCTGGAGCTGCGGCCGCGTCCTCGTTCCCTCTGACCCGCACGTCTTCAGCGTCCAGATGCGGTCAGGTTCAGGGAACGACCCGCTGCACCTGTGAGCCTGGATTCACCATCTCCAGCCACGACAGCAGCGTCTGCACAGGTACGATCACTGCAACCACAACACAGCTGAACAGATGCTGCTCCAGCTCCAAACTGTACTCTGGAAGCCGCCAGTGCAGCAGGTGATGTATTCCACGGCTTCTCTCCACACTTTATTCTTCACCAGCTTGTGATGTTAGGCGACTGGCAATGCTGCTCTTTTCAGTAGTGACAGATATGCTCCTCTTTCGTCCAATGACGTGTTTGTTTCAGTCAGCTCATTTTTGTGTTTTTCCTAGACATTGACGAGTGTAAACTGTTCCACGATGGGCAGGCCGGCCGTCTGTGTTTGCACGCGTGTGTTAACACCGCTGGCGGGTACCGATGCAGCTGCCCTGCTGGTTACAGCGTGACCCGTGACGGCCGGAACTGCAAAGGTTATTGATTAATAGCAAAACATGCACTTCGGAAACAAAGCGGTCCAGATTTTGTTCTGACCCGGTTCTACACCCTTCTGCTTTTCCTCTCAGATATCGATGAGTGCAGCAGCAGGCAGAACAACTGCACGCGCGAGCAGCTCTGCATCAACACCTACGGAGGCTTTCAGTGCGTGACAGTGGAGTGTCCGCAGATACGGAACGCCAGTTACGCCAAAACCTCTCCAGTGTAAGTTACAAAGCATCTTTATTTAAAACAAAAGGGAACATGTGAGAAGCAGGTTTTGTCTGCGCAGGCGCTGTGAGAGGAACCCGTGTCCCGTGGACAGCAGGACCTGCTCTCAGGCGCCAAACTCAGTGTCCTTCCACTACATGTCTGTGGTGTCCAAGCTGTCCGCTCCGCGCGTCATGTTCCGCGTGTCGGCCGTCAGAATGATAGGAGACGCGCTGCGCTTCGCGTTACTGGGCGGCCGCGGCCGGCGGCACTTCAGCGTGCAGCGCTCCGATCGTCAGACGGGTGAACTGCTGCTGACTAGTCCTGTCCAGGGTCCCGCCACGCTGGACGCAGAGCTGGAGATGAGTGAACTGGAGAGGAGAGAACTGCTGGGACGTTACATCACCAAGATTACCATCTTTGTCTCACCATATGAGTTTTAGAGTTAAATTAGAGAGGTTAAAGGCAGGGTAGGTGATTTGGTTCAAAAACAAGTTTTCTCACTGGTGAATGAGACATGAGCCTCTCATGTGTCGCTGCCTGTGCGTGGTCACGTGTTTCGGAGGAGGCGTGACTTTGGAGAGTGGTTTGCAGGGAGGGTGCGATCTTATGCTGTCAAAGCTAGCTTGCTATTTCCCTACCCTACCTTTAATATTACCTTCAGAAGAAATCTGGCTAGTTAGTGTGTGCATTTTTATATATACTGTGTAACACATAAATTTAAACAGAGTATGTGAGTAGAGTGACAGTTTCTCAGCTTTTTGTTATCAGCTCCACTCTGGGTTTCTCTTACTCTAGAAAACTGCTTGACCAATCAAATCAGAGGATCAGAACCAGCAACAGTCACTGGTACAGTCATAACTGTTACATTGCTTAAAGCCAAATGTGTGTATGTAGTTGGACAAATTTATAATAATGAATATAGATGTCAATATTAGGGACTGTAATCATCTGTTGTAGTCTATTTATTTTAAGCTCGGACAAATACTTTTTCATTCTAATGTATACATTTTTTGTCCTTTATCATGTTCCTGTCTTCAGATTAAAATAATGAATCTAAAGTTTGATTGATCCTCTGAATTATTTTGTGCTGTACTCAGATCCTCGTTAAGATGCTTCTCATTAACACCAGAGACACTGAGGGTGTGTTAAAGTCATGTCTGTGGCGACTCCTCGCAGGCTTTTCACGGCTCTTCAGCAAACACACACACCATGAGCGGCTGTTTTGGAGAGCTTGACTTTTAGGTTTCCCTGTACATTTAATACAGGGCCGTTCCTGTTAAGCAGCTTAAATATGCAGGAGACTAATAATCAAAAGTCTGGCTTGTGAAAGTCTACTATTAAATACAATATATTTTAAGCTAGTGCACATGAATAATACTTATGTGAGAAAATAGTGACACAACAAATACATAAAGACTATAAATCCAAATGAGCCAAACCATGATTACATATTTTATTTATGAAAATTAAACATTTGTACAATATATGATATAAATACAAAGACAAGATGGCCAGAAAGATCATATTTACTGTATAATAGGCCTGTTATCTTTGTCTGACATTTAGAAAAAACACAACAGATACAAGCAAAGCATAAGGTGCACATCTGATCTCTCCAGCTCTGAATCACATGATAATCATATCTCCACCAACAGATCATGCGTTCTACGATTCTCTGCACAACCCTGCTACAACCAGCGCCTAACAAACTATTCTGTCTCGCAGTGACAGAGACACACACACACACACACTCAAACACACGCGCACACACACACACAGACACACACACAGACAGACAGGCTCAGAATACAGCCACATGCTTGCTGAGAAGTTTGCTTATACAGTAGTGAAATGAAGCACATAAGTGAACACATAAGTCAAGCAGAGCGCTAAGAGTACCACGTATTGCATAACTAATCATAAAATCACCATGATCATAAAAACAAAGCAAAAATTATGATAGACAGGAAGAGAAAATGGATGATATCAAGTGCTTATTAGTCTGCTCTCTAGAATACTTGATCCTAAAAGAAACACAGAAGGAAAAGGAAGAGGAAAGAGACAAAGTGAAAGGAAAATTGAAAGAGTGACAGAGAGAGATGAAACAAGAAAATGACACCAAAAGGTACTTGAAAGAGAGAGGCAAGCTTTTGGGGTGAGTCAGTTTGCTGCAGAGTTTCTTATAGCACACTGAAAAACATTCTCTCGACAACAGTTTGCAATGCCAACTTTCAATGTTTACGATATTGACAACTACAGCATCAAAACAGCACTTAATCACTTCAGTTTATGGTCCTCCTCCTTTCCACATTTGACATGACGTACAGTATAAACTCTTTTTTGCTTACCTCTGGGCTCCTCACTTTCTGTTCCTGCATGCTTATCTAAAAGTGTGTTTGTATGTATGTGTGAGCGTGTTTCAGTGAGTTTTAAATCGGACAGTAGAGAGGTGTTCATGCTCTGTGGAGTGGCTTCCTTTTCTCTGGGCAGACTCAGAGACTGTGTTCATCGTGTTTGTGTGTGTGTGCGTGCGTGCGTGCGTGCGTGCGTGCGTGCGTGCGTGTGTGTGTGTGTGTGTGT